GCTGAAGTGCCCATCAGCAGATGAGTAGATTAAAAAACTATGGTACATTTACACAATGGAATACTACACTGCTGTAAAAAAGAAAGAACTCTTACCACTTGCAACAGGATGGATGGACCTGGAGTGTATTATGCTAAGTGAAATAAGCCAGCCAGAGAAAGATAAGTATCATATGATCACACTCATTTCTGGAATATAATGAACAACACAAACTAATGAACAAAAATACATTCAAAGACACAGAATAATCAAACAGCCCTTCAAACCTTAAAGGGAAGGCAGGGGAGGTTGGACGGGGGTGGATTAAGAGATCAACCAAAGAACTTGTATGCATATAAGCATAATCAATGGACACAGACAATGTGGGGGCGGTGAAGTTCGGGGCTGGGGAGTGTGGCAGGCTGGGTGAGGACAATGGGGGAAAAGGGACATATGTAATACTTACAGCAATAAAATATAAAAGAATTACTAACCTTGATATTCATGAGTTTAAATTAATTTACTGAGGACACTGGTCCAATATTCTACTTTGTTGCCTTGGATTACTGGGCAGTGCTACTGAACTGTGCACATTTCCATACAGATATTTTAAACTCCAGCAATGAAAAAGGATATTTTTTACCTGGTGGAATGCCAGAATTATCTTGATTTGTGGTTTTTAGTGGTTGAGACTGATTTTTTACCTGAGTAAAAATCATTTATCAAAGAAACAGTTTTGTGTTTACTGGTTTGTTCTACTTGGTCAGGCAAAATTGTTTTGAACACATACCGATACATGTAATTTTTATTTTTAAACTAGAGGCCCAGTGCACAAAATCTGTGCATTGATAGAGTCCCTTGTGGCTGCTGGCTGCCAGTTGGGGACTCCCTCCCTTCCCCCTGCCAGCCATGCCCCATGGTTGAACTCCCGATGACCTCCCGGTGGAGAGGACAGTTTGCATACTATGCTTTTATTATATAGGATTAGGTGTAGAAAACTCTAGAATTAGCCCTTTATATAGCTTTAGAAATGTTGTTTATTTATTAAAGAAATGTATCTTTAAATGGAGAGTTCTTTCTTCCTTCCTGATGTTCCAAGATTCATTCTTTTATCTTTTTCTTTTGTTTATGATCATAAAACAGTTGTCAGCATTTTTATCATTAAGTATGCATATAATGTCTGTGCTATATTTTACATAGACACACTTCATTAGATCAAAGAAGTACCCGCTGTTTCTAGTTTGCTACCTTTTATGTTATCCAATCCTAGATATTGAATTTTACTAAGATTTTTTTTGTGTCTGCTGAGATGAATATTTGATTATTCTCCTTAAGTTTGTTAAAGTGTATTTAAAAATTGGTTTAAATGTTATTTTGACCTTATATTCCATATATATATATATATATTACACACACACACACACACACACATATATATGTGGAATATATGTATGTATGGAATATATATATATGAATATACACACACACACACACACACATACACACACACACAGAGGCAGGGGTGGGCAAAATAGGTTTACAGTCATGAGTACACAAAATAAAGCTTATTTTTGTATTATTATTTATTATTATATTATTTGTATTATAATTGTAAAGGTACTTTTGCTCACCCCTGTAATAATATATAGCTAAGAGTTTTTTTGTAATTTTTGTGTCTGTGTTCTGAATGAGTCTGTAATTTTCCTTTTTTTTATGCTTATCTGATTTGGTATTAAGATTATGGCAGCCTCTTTAAAAGTTGAGGAATATTCCTTCTTATATTTATCTTTGGAAGAGCTGTTTAAAATTGGGATTCTTAGTTCCCTCAACTTAGCAGTGGTGTCATCTGGATTAGAGTTTCTCTTTGTAGATGAAAAAATAATATACACACACATATATACATATGTAAATTTTCATATAGACAATGTTACTGTTTTTTTCCTTTTGGTGTACAATCTATGAATTTTAATACAGGTATAGATTCATGTAACTACCACCAAAATCAGGACTCAGAACAATTCTATCATCCTCCCAAACTCCCCAGGCTTATCTCTTAGTCACACTAGCCCCTGGCAACCAGTTTGTTATC